ATCTTCAGATAGAGAAAGAGAAAGGAAAGAGAGAGAGAGATGAGAGACGAGAGAGTAGAGTAGAGAGAGAGAGAGAGACCAGACGCCGAGCGAGAGATAGAGAGCACGAGAGAGCCAGAGAGAGAGAGAAAGGAGAGAGAGAAAGAGGATGAGAGAGTAGAGAGAGAGAGAGAGAGAGAGACGCAGACAAAGAGAGAGAGAGAGAGAGAGCAGAGAAGAGAGAGAGATTCAAAAGAACAAACTAAATCTGAGGGAGCAGCAGCCAAAAGACTCTGTACCAGGCCAATTAATGGAACTTTCCCTGTGGGGCACGGAAGAGATACTTTGGAGAGCACGCGTGGCAGTTGAGATATCTCGTCCACGTAACAGATACTGTATACGCTGTATATTTCGCGGTGGTTAATTTTCGCGAATTTCGCGAATCGCGTCCCGACCGCGAAAAGTAACTACATGACGAATACACCGAATAATTCATAATTCACCGACGGCCGCGAACATTAACACTCGCGAAAATTGCCCGTTCAAGTCTGAATTGCGCGGAAAATAATTCTGTACTGCCGAAAATATGGCGTATACAGTAACCACGTGTCTACTTGGGACAGGTGTCGCGAAGGGTCAGTCTCTAACTCTCAGGCCGTCGATAAAGTAACACAGTTTACATGCGCACTTTGCATACTTCGCCCGCCTAAGCAGTGTTTTTTAGAACGCACCATCTTCAATTGCCGATTCCGTTAAAAGCCAACTGTCAATCATGCCAGGCCAGCGATAAATGATCAATTTCAATTCAATATCATCAGCATCAATTTTCTGGGAACATCTGATATTACATTTCGGAGAATCCTTTTCGCAATTAGGAGCCCATTATATTTGCCAATGGGTTGTAAGTTCTTTTTTATCCATAGTACACAGATTTCAAATACGGTTTAAATCAGCGCACTGCATAATCGCATGGTAGGAGTTTAGCAGTCTTAGCAGCTGCGCATGGCAGGATAAGAGAGTTTACGGCTTGGGAGAGTGTGCGAGTTGAAGGACGGGAGAGTGAGAGTTGCAGAGACGCCCGGCAAGCACGGCATGCGTCCACCGCGACAACGTGTGACAACGTGCTTGACAACGTGCCTGACAACGTGCTGACAAACGTGTGCACAACTTGTGACAAAACGACATAGTGAACAAACTAAATGTAAATGTGTGACAACTAGCTGAAACATCGAGATGTGCGAGACACGCACGCACACAAGACCGCACCGCGCGCACGCACGCACACAGCGGCACCAATGCACACGCACACGCACACGCGCACGCGCACGCACACGCACACGACACAACCACACACACACACGCACACACACAAGTACACCTCACACGCACACGCACACGCAACATACACACGCGCACACACACACGGACCCCACCCCACACACACACACAGAGTGCTGAACCGCAACAGTAGGCGCAAAACACCAACACCTATTAAGCAAACCCCGTCTCTCAGTTATCTCCGTCAGGTGAAAGCCGCACAGCGACTATTAAAAAGCGAGTTAGTTAGCAGTAGCGCCACCTGCGTTGCAGACGCACGATGCCAGCAGAAGAGCGCCCCTTGACAGGACCTACGCCACACTTAAACATTGTTTTGAAAAGAGCTCCCATGACTAACTCGTACGTCGCACACTTGTTCTCGCTAGAACAGAAATGTCGAGTTTGTCGCTCAACATCGGACTCACCTGCAAAGACATAAACCCTCCCAACATAAACAATAACAATAACATAACAAACTAGGAGCAACTCGGAGAGCACAGACCTCGGCCAAGCCGCACAGCAGCAATTAATCTCAATGTGAAATTTATTTATTGAAGTAATTTCATTAAATTAAGGCTGGGCCAAAATTAATTAAATAATTAATTGGATCCGGATTAGGTGCGAGCCGTGCCCAGGTGGGGGAGGACTGTGGTTGCCGCCCTTAAGCCTCGTGGGTTGCAGTGTTTGTTAAGTCTACAGCCAGCGCACCTAGCGGTAAGTGAACTGAAATGTGCATGTTACACAAACCCACAAAACCACAAACACACAAAAACAAACACCTCAAACACCCCGGTGAAAAACTAACCCGCCAAGCCCTGCAGAGAGGCTAATAAACCAATAAACGTAACAACAACCGCACAGGCATGAGTCGCTGTGCTGCGCACACCACATAGGCTCTGGCGCTACTACTAATAATTAAATTTTCCGATTTTTATTAATAGCCCGATTACATTAATTTTATATATTCTAATTTTTTTCTAATTTCTACAAATAAAACCATGCAGGTGATAATAGGTTGTGAGAGTAGCGAAGAGGAGGGATGGGAGCATGAGAAACACCGCGCTACAGGAAGAGAGCAGAGAAACCGCCGTCATGCGAGGAAAGAGGAAGCTAGAGAGGGGAAGAAACGCGCACGCATCAGTACCTCCTTAGAAGCAGCAGAGTAAGAAGCAGCAGAGAAACACGCGCTATGCGAGGACGAGAGGAAGGGACAGAAGGGTTGAGAACGCGCCGCTGAGCGAAGAGAGCAGCAGAGTAACGCTGCGCATTGCGGCACGGAAAGAGGAAGTAGAGGAGGAGGGGAGAACGCGCAACGCCATCAGTACCTACTTGAAGCAGCAGAGAAGAAGGAGCAAAAAGTGGGGAAACGCCCACGCATGCCGAGGGAGCAGAGCGAACTAGAGGGAGGAGGGGCATATACGCGCACGCATCGCATACCTTCCTTGAAGTTCACCGCGCGCTCGTCCTCTCTGCTTCGCAAGTCCATCATGTCGAAGAAGATGGGGCAAGGATGGCCCTTGCCGAAGCTCCGTCTCCGGCAACCAAGGTGACCTCCCAGCAATGGTCCGACCATGCCGGGTATGAAGGGATCTTGTGTTCGCCTGAGGTTCGACCACATGTTTCCAATATTCTGGAAGCCCATCAGCACTCGCCACTGTCGTATGTACACTGCGCAGCTAAGGTAAAAGCTTAAAAGTAAAAGGTAAAAGATAAAAGGCTAAAGGTAAAGGGTACCTGTGCTGTGTTAAAGGGTGTACAGCCGTGTTCAGCGCAAGTGTATAGGTTAAATGTATAGATTATGGGTGTACATTGGAAATGTACCGCGTGTGTTCAGGTTAGAACATACGAGCAAGTTTTAAGCGTTGATACGAATCATTGAAAAATCCACTACAGTTAATCACCATGTAGACAGATAGCAGAGCAGGAATCTCACAGCTACTGCTTGGCCAGGCCGTCTATGTCTCCCTGGTTACTGCCCGGAACGACCCTGCTAC